AAAAAAAAATTTGGTGTAACAGTAAAGAGGTGAAAATTCAATTTTTGTATTTTGTATGTTTCAATGATGTATGCCCTGTTTTCATAAATAATGTAGAATTGGTCCTGTTATTATTATCAAAGTTCCTGCTACACCAGGAATAGTGGTATTAGCATGAGATAGATAATAGAAATAAACCAAAATCAACTGTCAGAACATATGAAAACAACAGGGTTTAAAGAATAATTGAAGTAGAGATATAAAAGACTGATGCTCTGTTTTGCTGTACATAACTCATTTCCTCTCAATATAACCTCTACATTCTAGGGAAAAAGTGAAGAGCACTGTCTGCCCCTCCACCTTCTGTGGTTTTTTAGGTCTAAGTAACAAACAGTATCGAACTTCAGAGCTTCTACTATTTCACAGGTTTCAAGTCCAACGGATTTCCAAGTCACAATATTTTTCATGATGTTTAAGTTTTTCAACCTAGAACTCCACTAATGCCAGACGAAATATGTCCTCATTTTTTTTTTTTTACCTAATGTTCATATATTTAAAAGTTTGTTACATTTCTATAGTAGGAGAAATCTCTTCCCAGGTGAAGAAACAAAAGGCTTGCCAATGCAGTAAAATGTAAAGATGATGAAGGGGCTCTTGGTTTTCAGGCTTTCCACAATCTTCCTGCATCGAAAGTCCATTTCTAGAATACCAGCACAAAATCCCCACCAAAATCAACCAATTTGTCTGATGTACAAACACCTAGATCCTGACTCTTAATGTGTTTATACAGTTCAATATATTGAACCAAAGCTAAGGAAATAGCCTTAAAATAAATTATTTTAAGTCGTATGTAATCACAGCTACAGACAAATCAGTTGCTTCTCTTGCCACATAGCACATCACAGATTTTTATGAAAAGTTCAGATAAATTTGGTGTACTAGCTAGCTTTCGATAAAAAGGGGAGCGAATATTTCTGGCTCTGAGCACTCCACGAAAACACTTTAATCCTAGTTTGCATCTGAAACACGAATCTGAACTGCTTCCCACGCCAGAATCCTAATCTCTAAGGGAGATGATCAGATTTTGCACGAAGCCGGCACGAAGCACCCTGGAAACAGACCTCTGTGGCTCTACCTGTCCTGGCAGCGGACGGAAGCAGATGCACAAGTTTCAAGAAGTTGGGGAATAACCGATGCGACGGCTCTGCCCGCACCCTGGAGGAAGGGGGCGAGAGAGACAGAGAGAGGGGCTTCCGCCCTCGGGCTGTCCCCGTTTTATCGGCTGCACCTTTCCGGCCCTCAGGGGTGGGCTGGGCCTGTCAGCTCGTCAAAGAGTCAAGCAGTTGATGGGAGAAAACTGCTGTTGGTGGGGGAGAGAAAACAATTTTTAAAAAAAATTTTCGTTTTGTTCTCCAGGACACCACCCAGAGGCTACCGGAGAAGAGCCTGGGCACCACCGGGGCTGGGGCGGGAGGCAGGGTCGCGGCAACACCTGCGGGGTCTCGGCTCGGGGGAGCCCACTCCTCCCGGGCATCTCCAGCGGCTTCTCTTTTTTATTTTTTTTTTTAACTTTTCGCCCCCGCCCGGGGTCCCACCGCGGCCGGCCGCAGACCGGCTCCGAGTCGCCGGGCGCCGGCCCCGCCTGCGAGGGGAGACTCACCTGCGCCCTGCCCGGCAGGACGGAAGCCGGAGGAGCCGAGAGGCCTGGCGGCGGCGGGGCTGCACTGGAGCCTGGCTGCGCGGGGGCCCGGGCCGGGACAGAGTCGGGAGCCGCGCGGCCGCCCGCAGCTCGCCCGCCACGCCCTCGACGCCCGCGGGAGCCGCAGCCTCGGCGGAGACGCGGGCGGCACCTGGGCCTGAGCTAGGCGGCCGGCACCGCGCGCGCCCCCGCGCGGCCTGTCCCGCCCCCGCTCGTCCGACGCAGGCGCCGGAGGCCGGCCGGGGGCGGGGGCGGGGGCGCGCGGGGGCGCGCGGGGGCGGGGGCGTCTCGGGCACGCGCGCTCCGCCCGCTCCTTCCGGAGTCTCGGTCTCTTCAAAAGGGGCAGAGGCGGGGGCGTTAGGTTCCCCCGAAAACAAGTCCCTTGGTGACCTTATTGTATTCCACTGTGACCAGAGTAGTTTTATCTCCTTTCCCTACTGGCCCCACGTTGACGGTCACAAGAGTAGTTAACAGGAATATCGTGAACATTTACCCAGGGCCAGTTACTATGTACACTGCGCCCAGTGCTTTGTGAGCTTCACCTCATTTCACCTCGCAGTAACCAGCGAACCGGATATTGTCGCCCCCACCTTATAGATGAGGAGCAGCTTCCTTGTGCCTAATTGCCCGAGGCGAGGTGGCTATTAGGTAGCTGAGCTGTAGGTAGCACCCAGGGTGTGACTCCACATCCGGGACCCTTAACCCTGGTGGTTTACTGCCCCGGCCGCCGCCTCCTCCTCCTGCTCCTCCTCCTCTCCCTTTCCCTCCTCCTCCTTCCCCTTCGTAATCCTCCTGCTCGCTCTGCTCCCCCTCCTTCTCCTCCTGCTCACCCTCCTCCCCTTTCTCCTCTTCCTGTTACTACCCCTCACGCTATGCCTTATGCACAGTAGTGATGATATTTACCTTTTTTAATGCTTTGTTTTTCGTTTACAAAACACTTCAACGCACGCAGTCTTGCCCGATTGTCTCAGAAGCCTGAGGAGGCAGTGGGACATCATTATGCCGATTTCGCACATGGGAAGAGCCAGGGTCTAAGCGGTTCAGTGAATTATGCAAAGACAGTGGTAGGACCAGTGCTTACACTGACAGGTATTATTATTATTATTGTTGTTATCACTATTTTTACAAAGTACCTGAGCCCAACTTGGAAGGGAGCTGGTGTCTCTTCCCTTAGATTGAGGGGAGGGAAACAGGGACACAGAGCAGGAAAGGAGCTTGTCTGGGCTCCCATCGTTAAGGATGTGCAGTTAGAAGAAAATCAGCTCTGATCACTCACTCATGGCCCCCTCTAGGGCAAAGCGAAGGTTAAAATCAAAGGCACTCAGGCACTCAGCACCTGCTCATGGGGTAGGAATATGGACTAAATTGTGTAGACTGCGTCTAATGGCTGTTAGATTTAAACCAAGGAAACGGGGTTGGATTATGACTGCAATGGCTCCTTAGCAGTTGGCCCCCAGACCGTGGCAGAGATAGGTCCAAGAAGTCATCCCTCCTGTCTTCTGCTCCTTCTTCTCCTGCTCCTCATCTTGGCTTAACCAAATTCTTCACTTTTATTCATTTAACAAGTATGAATTGCAAGCCACTTCCTTTGTCAAGGTCACCCTAAGAGCTGTAGTAATTTTTTCTTCTCTAAATTTTCCTAACACAGCAACTTCTGCAAAAATTGAGTTTTTATAGCAAACGAGTTTGGAAGCTGCTGCTTCTGTACCCCTGCTTGGGGATCCATGGAGACATAAACACAAAAAATGGGACTCTGAGAGGTCCTAAGTCAAAAGACCAGTTTAGCTTTGTTTAACTCAGTTTCCCTGAGGTATTAGGCCAGGTGCTGGGTGTTGGGCTTGCAAAGGTAAGACTCATACAAATCTGCCACTTGAGGAGCTCACAGGTAGGGGGGACAGTGATTGTGATAACAATTGTATGTATGCACTAATAGAGACATTTGCAAAGTGCTGGCAAAGCAGAGGAAGTGAGCAATCCTATCTGCATAGGTCAGGAAAGACTTTGTAGTTAAGAGGATATTTAAGTAGGAGTTCTCTAGGTGGAGGAAATGAAACAGATCATTCTATGGAAATAACAGCATATTTAGAGGTATATAGGTATATCTTTGGGTTGGTCTTTGGGGTAAGCATCATCAAGTATTATTCAAGAGTCTCTTTTTTTGCATACAATACATCACGCAAACTGGGGTAAGCAACAAATGGAATTCATTGACTCACATGACTCACATAACAGAAAAGTTGAGGGCTTCAGGCATGGCTGGATCCAGGGGTTTAAACTGTGACATCAGAATTTAGTCTTTTATCTCCATTTCTTGTCTCTATTTCCCTTTGTATTGACTTTTCATTCTCAGGCTGCATTTCCCTATGAGATGGCAGGATGGCTGCTTACAACTTCAAATCACACCGTTACCAGCAGACAGTTTCTTTTCCCCCATGCTATCAACAAAAGTCCCAGGACTGCATCTCATTCGTCTAATTTACATTATTTGTGTATCACTAAACCATTCTCTTGAGAAGGGGCATGGAATATTCTGACAGCCCAGGCCTGGGTCATGTGCTCACCTCTGGAGCTGGGGCGAGGTCAGCTCCTCTCAAATCTCAGGAACTGGGGTTGGGGAGAGGTGGCTTCCTGTGCTAGATATTTTCTGTTGATTTCTCCACATCTACTCTCTACCCTTTTCCTTCCTGATTTGTACCTCAAGAGGCCAACCAGCATGGACTGCTTCAATAGGTCCTTTGTCCTTTGGCTTACAGTTGAATTCATCTAATAGAAGCTATCAGAAATAAGATAAGAGGGTTGGGGGATGAAGTAAGGGTATTATTCCACTGGCTCCTTCTTTTCTAGGTTGCTGCAGGTTGGTTACATACATTTACTGAAGCATCTGTCAAGTGACCTTCTTCATACAGGTACTCTTTCCTAGTTCTGATAAATTCTCCCTTCTCCTGCCCCAGAGGTGATCATGGCTTCCCTCCATTGCCAGCCTCAGGGTGTCATACCATCATTCCTGCTTGTTTCCTTCAACCCAGCCCAAGCTTTTATATATAACTTTTGCTAAACTTTCCTTAGATTTATCATCTACTGGGACCTTCATAGTCACATTCACCAAAGGAAATTCAAATTTCTATTACTGAAAGAAAGGGAAATGAATAAAGAGCAGTAAGATAGTGATACTGGTTTGGAAAAGGTACTACGATAGTGCAGACCAGAGATGACTGTGGCTTCGACGGGGTCATGAAGGTGGAAGTGGTGAGAAATATTAGGATTCTGGCTATATCTCAAAGGTGAAGTTAACAAAATTTACTGATGAGTTAAATGTGAATTCTGTGCAGTAGAGGGGAGTTGAGGACAGAAGCAGTTGGAAAACATACATCCGGAGCCTAGGAGTGAGCTCAGCCCAGGCGTAGTGATTTGGGAGGGAGGTATGGTGGTTAGTCGAAATCATGGGCTCAGATGAGATGACCCAGGGAGGGCATGTGGAATAGACACAACAAGGACAAAGGGCAGACTCCGGAACAACACCAATCTTTCCACAGTGGACAGAGGAAGAGTTGCCATCTTGTACCTGTCATCTAGGTCGTGAGCAACTCGAGAACTTGAGCACAAGAACGGAATCTTCCACATCCTGTCTCTGCACCATTGTGTCTAGCAAGGTGACGGGCACGCAGTGTGTAATAAATGCTTGTTATGAATGAAACTGACGCAGTCTCACATTTCTAACACCCCCTCCCTCTCCTCACTGTGAGGTTTGAGTTACAGGCAAGAGAGGAGAAAGAGAAATTGATCCCCGTAGCTCAAGCCACTGAAACTTGTGGCGAGGTTGATAAGCATTTTGCTGTCCTGGAAAACTTAAGTAGAACCTGCCAGATGATGCCACAGATCCGAGTAGCACATCTCTTGCCTTTCAGGAGAATTTCCAGACAGGTGATTTTGTTTCAGATTTTTCTTATTTTTATTTGAGTAGATGTAACAGTCAATACTCTAAAAAGTCCTTATTAGGTTTGTGCTATGAAAGTAATACAGGTGGCAAAAGATCTCGCTTTAACACTCATACACTGCTGGGGGAGTGTAAAAAGATGCAACAGTTTTTTGGAAACTTTGCCAGTTTATCAAGCTAAACATACTACTCTATGACCCAGAAATTCCACTCCTACACTCCTAGATGTATACTTAAGAGAAATGTAGGGAAATGTTAACCAAAAAAAAAAA